ATCATCCATTATTGATTACTAGTAAATTTTCTTTCTCTGCCTGTGATTTTTCTAGTTTGTTTTCCATGTAAATCTTTCGTTCTTGTGATTGTTATATACATCTTGTTCATTATCTCGTCTTTTATATTCATAATAATTAGCTTGTTTTCTAACAAGTGATATCAAAGTCTGGTTTAATAGTTCTTGGGAGAGCCGGTTCGGTTTTGTATTAGGGCGAGGTTTGATCAACTCAGATCAAGGTATGATTTTCGGCATGGCAAGTATGCAGTTCTATAATCATGTTTGATGTAACTGTCACTAAAATTGAAGGAAAGAGATATTAGACCTCAAGAGAAGTTCGATGATGATGATTTGGTTGCTGGTGCTTTGGTAAGCATGGACTTAGATGGAGTTAGTTGTGATTTGAACCTTAGGGACTTTTGTGAAATAGGTGGAGAATTTTTGTTGAAGAGTTACTGTTCCTTGCAGTGGAATTCGTCTCCAAGTAAAGATTTTTTTTTTTTTTTAATTGCAGTTTTGATCCTTGTAGTGGAAATTGTATCAAGATGAAGATTTATTAGAATTTCGATGATTGGGAGTTTTATTCGGAGTTTGTAGTATGTCTTGAAGAAGTTAAAGACGTATTTGGCAGGTTTTGAAATCCTATTCTAACTCAATCACTCCATTATTTGTTAGTCTATTATATTAGTACTTCACACTATATGGAACTCTTCATTGTATTATATTCTCTTAGTATTTTAGGGGTTTTTTTATTATAAATACGTGGTGTACAACACATGTTGAGATTAACCAATTGTTTAATTTATAAGTGAGCTCTCCTTCTTTGCCTTTTTTTTTTTCTTTCCTAATTGGATTTTCACGTAAATTTTGTATTCTTATGATTGTTATTTTCACCTTGTCCATTATCTCATTTTTAATATTCATAACAATTTGCTCTTCTTCCAACAAAATTAAACAAGGGAGGTTTGCAATATTTCTAATATTGTAGTAGCAAAACGTCATACTTCCATAGTTAAAGGGCTGTCAATGAAAATTACGCTCCACTAACTTCATGTTAATCCTAGGAACACGTGTATTATTTCTATACTTGACTTTTAATATTATTCTATTATACTCTAATGTAATAGATGTCGAGATCGATATCAAGATTATATATTTTAATACTTTCTATTGTTTAATAATGTATACGTGCCATTACCAGCAAACGGAATCTATTAGCCAACCATAGACAAGGAAATTGGCTGTACATTTAGGGATTGTTTGGTAGTGATTTTGAGAATTGATTTTTTGACTGTTAAGAAGAAAAGTGAGAACCACTTGTGAGTGAAGAAGTCAAAAATGACGGTTAGAATAGTGAAATAACGGTAAAAAAACCAATTTTATAGGGTGAAAAATTACTCCCAAACGGGACCTTAGTAGAAACAAAGGAGTGTGCACCAATAATTATAACAAAGAATTTAGCACATCCAGACGCATTACACTAAGAATGGGGTGTACTGTGCTTTTTTCTTGTATTCACATGGCATCATATGGACACCAATGAATGATACGTGGCTAATGTATATCCAAAAACTTGCGCAAAAGGATTAGAATATTGGCACATAGTTATAATTCACTACATGAAAGAATACATCTTTGGATGGTGCTAAAGTTGTTGATGAAACTTCACATGTTACGGTTGAAATCGTCCAATTGAATTATGTCTACTTTTTGAGTATGCAGACATCGAGTAGAAATTGATCACGAGATTGTTTGATATTGAATAATAAGAGATACATTGTTGCAATTATAGGCATGATCATCAAAAGAGTGACGATCAACCTTTAAGTACTATTCAATGTCCTAGAAGATTTTGAGACTTGAATTTTCGAATCCCACTAAATGGTTTTTGTTTTGGGTTCACTTGCGTCTCAAGTCGTTGGGTGGGATATTCAACTTATGAATTGAAAATCCATCTTCACAACGAACTTCTCAATTCTTTCTAAACCGTTCAAAGTGGACAATTTTGCAACGGTGTTTGAGTAGGCTGCACAAGTCTTGTGGAATCAAATTGTTCTCCTAACTTGAGAAACAATTGGAGAAGAATGATAAGAAAAATGGGGGAAAATCATATTCCATATTAAAGATCAAAAGTCATGTGACCATTTAATCATAATTATAGTTGTTAATATCTTTTGTACTCCGAAGAGTGCACAAACTCCTAAAAATTATACTTAACAAGTTCGAACTAAAGTTAACAAGTGCACACTCTCATCTATCAACTGCGAACTATCGATGTAACAAATTACGTCACGGGCATTACTAATCGGAATTATATATCAAGCATAAAAAGGTTCTCAACTATTTATTATCGAACCCTAGTTAAGAACCACTTACTGCACCAATTCCCCAAGTCAACAGTAAGATTGGTAGATTGGGAGAAATTAGTGGCTGTGATTTGTCAAAAGTGGGCCCAATTAGATAAGAAGAAGAATGAGAAGATAGACAGCCCACATGGAGCAACGTGGATAGGCCCATAAAATATAGCTCTGTCATCAAAATATATGGACAGTACGGACCATGCGGTTGTCTCTTTATTTCCTTCGCACAAGTACAAAGTTTTTGTACGAAAAATCTTTCACAAACACAAGTATCGAAACATCATTCAAAAATAAAAAATAAAAACATAAAATACAGACGCACAGAATTTTTCTATTTCAAAATCCCGTCTGCAATTTTTCCTAATAATAATTTATTGCAATGGCTACTAAGAATGCTCTTACGCCTCAAGTTTTCACACAATAACCACAAAATTAAGCTCTTGTTGGTCTCTATTATTTTTAAAATATATTTTTCTCTCTTATTTTCAATCATATATTTTTCAATAAAATAATATTACATGTAAATATAAATTTTTTTAAATTTTTTAACCACAAATTGTTCCTCACAATATTGCCCTTGTTTGATCCCCATTTTTTGGAGAAAATAAATTCTTCAACAGTGTTTTGACATAATTTCAATTACACATTTTTCAATAAAATAATATTACAAGTAAATTCAAAACTTTTTATTATTTTTTAACCACACATTTCACATCAATACACTATTCAAAAATTCATTTTCCCTATCAAAATGGGGCTCAAACAAGGGCAATATTCCAAAATACATTATTTTCCCCAAAAAAAAAAAAAATTCCTCTAGGTCTAAATAGAACTGTCGGTGACCTACCCTATGTCTTGTGAGAGTCTAGTACTTCTTTGTCATTTGTCTTACGTGACCCAGTTTATGAGTTTAGCACTTCTTCGTAATTTTGACATTGTCAACTCGCCTTTAAAATTGTACCATAAATCTTTCTATAGATGTCGCTGAATGTCGGCACACCAACGTTATCGTACGGCATATTATAATTTTACTTATTAAAATCGATATTTGTTAAAGTCTAAATTTGAAAACGGCTTCATTAATCTCTTTTTACCAGTTCCATGACTTCAAAAATGCTAAAAATTACTCATAATCGTGTCATATTTAATGCTTTTTTGACATAGATTTCTCTTTTTTAAATAATTTTTCTCCAAAATCATTTTGCTATGTATGACATAATTTCCCCTTTAAACCACACAATTTCAAAGAAATTACGTTTGCTTGGAAAAATGTGCTACAAAAGCTTTGAATTCAGATTTTTTAACCTGTTTTTAAGCTGCTCGCTGTAAAGTTAAAAAAAGAACCTTTAACCTGTTTTTAAGCTGCTCGCTGATAATTAAAAAAAAAAGAACCATTTTTACTTAGTCATTTGCAAAAAAAAATTCACCATTGCAAAAATGTCTAATTAGGAATAATTTAGACCAAAATACCCTTATTAACAATTTATAATTTCACACTAAGACAAAAAAATAGGCATTTTTGCAATATTGTTATTGGGCAATAAAATTTTGACACATAATTTGTCATATTTATTTAAAAAATATACATGTCAAATCAAAATAAATGTTATGTTTTTTATTGATTCAGAAATGTCGAGAATGACATTTTTAAATGTAGAGAAATGTTATGTTCAAAATGAAATGTCATTCTAGACAAATGAAATGATGTTCAAATGTCGAGAATGACATATGAAATGTCGAGAAACATTATTTTGATATACCTTTTCATAGAAGTCACTTCTCAAAATTTGTGACAAATTGATAAAAAATCAAATGTCGAAAATATCATTTCAAAATGTAACTTTTCATTAAGAGCATAATAAACAAGTTGGCATTAAATTCAAATGAGTGAACACTTTTCAATTTATACCCTTAAAATTGGACATTTAAAAAAAAAAAAAATGCTGCTACTAAACACAGGGCCAAACATGCTCCTAGTGTCTAATCCCTCACATGCAATCTAATAAAATACTTTATACTAAGACTATGTTTGATTGCACACCAATTCCATGGAAAATGGAAATCAAATTCCACCTTTCCAATTTTTTATTGTTTGATTGACAAAATTTTTTTTAGAATTCGAATTTGACATTTTATGCCACCTAAGCTAATTTTCATGTTTTCCTTGATTTCAAATGGTGAGAATTGGAATTCTCGGTTTCTATAGTACTTTTTTTTTTATTTTTTTCGATTTTTCTTTGTTGAAATTGGAAACAAATTCTAAGAATTATTGTAACAAATATTTTCCTTTAAATGACAATTTTAATGTAAAATAAAGTCAAATGGAGATCAAAAAACACCTTTATTTCAACATTTTCCACATGGAAAATTATCACAATCAAACACAATAATTTACAATTCTCAAGAAAACAATTTTTATGCAATTCAATTCCCTGAAATTTATTTTCAATTCTATCTTTACAATCAAACGGAACCTAACTTTAAAATGTTCAATATTTAAAGTTTTCCATCTTTGAACAGCTCTAAGAAGATCAATGCTCTAACATCTACAAATGGAAAGGTGCAGAACTCGAAATCATAAAGAATGTGGACCCAAATGCTTCATTCAGTATATTTCTCTACTCTCTATATAAATCTCAATCCCTCTAACTTACTCTCTCCATCTCCCTCTGCTTTTTTCTCCTTTTCTTTTACCAAAAATTAAATAAAGAATTAAGTATGAAAATCCCACTTTACCTTTTGATACTTCTTCCTCTACTCGCTCCAGACATCACATTATGTTCACCAGTCCAAAATCCTCAATCAGTAGTCCAAGAAGTTAATGAGTAAGAAACTTCAGTTCAAAGTTCAAACCACGAATGGAACCGGATCGGATGAACAAAATTTTAGCTTCATTTTCCTTTTTAATACTGTTCGATGCGATTCAATCATCCATGCCAAACATGCATGAAGTCCATACATTAGTCTAACAATATGTCAGATGTTTGTTTGTGTGTTTTTTTTACAGAAAAATCAATGCATCGAGAAGGAATTTGGCATTACTGTCTTGTGCCACTGGCAATCCAATTGATGATTGTTGGAGGTGCGATCCCAATTGGGAGAAAAACCGGCAGCATTTAGCGGATTGCGCAATCGGATTTGGGAAACACGCCATTGGTGGGAGAGATGGTAAAATATATGTTGTGACGGACTCTGGAGACAACGCCGTTAATCCAAAACCGGGCACTTTGAGATATGGGGTGATCCAAAATGAGCCGTTATGGATTATTTTCTCCCGTGATATGGTGATTAAGCTTAAGCAAGAACTGATGATGAATTCATTCAAGACCATTGATGGTAGAGGTGCAAGTGTACACATTGCAGGAGGGGGATGTATTACTGCACAATACGTGACAAATATTATAATCCATGGCCTAAATATACATGACTGCAAGCAGAAAGGGAATGCATATGTCAGGGACTCACCAGATCACTATGGATGGAGAACTCCATCCGACGGTGATGGGGTGTCAATATTTGGTGGCAGCCATGTTTGGGTCGATCATTGCTCCTTGTCTAATTGTCGTGATGGACTGATCGATGCCATCCATGGCTCGACTGCAATCACGATATCGAATAACTACCTAACACATCACGATAAGGTCATGCTCTTGGGACATAGCGATACTTATACGCGTGACAAGAACATGCAAGTCACAATTGCATTCAACCATTTCGGTGAAGGGCTTGTGCAGAGAATGCCAAGGTACATAAATTCAAAAGTTTGTAAAATCTTATGTTTATTTGTATTGTCTAGTACAATCTAACACTACATACCAAACATCACACAGTTTTTTAACTGGTGTTCTTTGCAGGTGTAGACATGGGTATTTTCATGTGGTGAACAATGACTATACTCTCTGGGAAATGTATGCAATTGGGGGTAGTGCAGATCCTACAATCAACAGCCAAGGCAACAGATTTCTAGCTCCTAATGATAGATTTAACAAAGAGGTGAGGATCATCATCCAGCAGAACTGATAATCTGTAAGAAAATGTACCGTACACAATGGTCAACGTAACTGTATAACAGACAGAATTTCAACTTCTTTTTCTTTCTAATTACATTTGAGTCCACTATACCAAGAATTTATTTCCTCCAAAAGATATTATAAATTGGATATTAAAGTAACAGATTGCATTAAACTTTGTTTCATTCTACTCTAATAGTGTCCAACAACAATCTGTTAACAAGTACACACTAGCTGATACAAGCAATGCAGAAGGGTAAGTGGTAGAGTGTCCTTGTTGCCACAATCTACTAAGTTTAGTTCTCTATTGCTCCGATTCGTAGAAGGAAAATTGAAGTATACACTAGCTGATAACGTACTATTGTGCATTTTAAGGTTACCAAACACGAGGATGCACCAGAGAGCGAGTGGAAGAAATGGAACTGGAGATCCGAAGGCGACCTAATGCTCAACGGTGCCTTCTTCACCCTGTCTGGTGCAGGAGCATCTTCAAATTATGCCAAGGCATCGAGCTTAAGTGCAAGACCATCTTCTCTTATCGGTTCAATGACAATGGGAGCAGGTGCGCTTCTATGCAAGAAGGGTAAAGGTTGCTAATTAGCTTCGTTTCATTGGATCGAAGATTCAATCTCAGAGAAAATCATAGAATGGTCAACTCTATTTACATGTGATTTTGGCTTCTACTCTTCATGATATAGAATTTGGTACAACCTCAGCTGTTTCTTCTCCACCAAAAAAATAAAAATAAAAGAATGTCCTGATGGAATTGATAGGGAACAAAGGCTGGTGAGTTGATTATTCCATTGTAATTTTCGACCATAGTATTTAAGTTTGGACAGATCCAATGCAAATGTTACATTGTACCATTCCTACTAAATTAATTGGTATGCGTTCTACATTTTCAGCTGGTCTGGCAAGACAGACCCTAGCTAGTTTGCAAAATATTGGACAATTCTAAAAATAAGAGAAACACTGTTAAATCCAGTCCATTGCATTGCTCAGAACTGTGTACCCGACATACTTTTCTCGTTTGTTTGGTAAAGCAGGGTAAAATATCGCAATTGCTACTAAAATTTTCAAATTTTCTCCGTTACTATTATACTTTAAAAGATTTTCGACTTATCACAGAATTTATCAAACCGTTATCTCAGCTGCTACTCTGTCAATTGCCGTTGTTTTTTAAGTTAATGCAATAGATGAGAGGGTTGGAAGAATGATGGATGAGATAATATTTCGGTAAGTTTATTGAGTCTTTTAACTTTTCAAATGACAAGTGATGGATGTGATAACATTTTTATAAGTTCAATGAAAACTAATAAACTTTTAAAGTTCAATGGAAACAAGGTAACATTTGGAAAAGTTCAATAACAACTTAAAGTTTTATGATAATTGAAAAATATTTGTAAAATTTCAATGGCAATTGAGATATTGAACTACCGGCAAAGTTTGTTAAGGATGAATTAAATATATTACTAACAAAAATAAAAGATTTGAACTATTCCTCTTAATAAAGTTAATAATATAAGCTATGACTAAAAGTCATAATACAGATCATAGTCAATCAAACTCAAATGAGTAATTTAGTTCGTCTATAGCTCAAATAAGTATTTAAATTTCAAGATTAGTGTGCTCAAACAAGTCACAATCTTGTTGGAACCCGGGATTGTTAATGCCGATTTCCCAAATCTTTAAGTATAAAAATAACAATCAACGTATAAGGGTTTCGTCTACTTCTCTTAATGGGTTTTGTAAAGCTTAGATTATATTTTTAAGTTGATCAAACATATTTTTTGAGTCATACATTTTATAGAACTCATATAAATTATAATCTAATTATTAAATACATATTTTACAGGACTCATAGTTTATAACCACTTAAAAACACTACCCATACAAGTAAAATTGATCTTTCAAGATGAAACTTTAAGCCTTAATATATATATTACATCACATGGAATGATAGATCGGTTGTCGATTAAACAATAAGGAAAATCAGAAAGGTTTGGCAATGATGGAAATGGACCATGTTAATTTCGGGACATATTCACTGAAAATGGTAACTGCATCTTTGACGAAAAGTTGCAGAAGATTTCAATGCATCAGATCTAATTTGCAAAGAAATGTTGGAAACGCTATCGTCAAACTGCTCAACCATGTCAAAGTAACGTGCTCTTATTTAAAGCTCCTGCACCAAATAATTCTTGAAGCTATGAATCCTACCCCATCGCTCATTCAATCTATCTCTGCCATGTGCAATAAATGATGAAAAAAGGCATGATGTAATAAATGCTGAATTCGACGACAACGAAATGTGGACTCGACTTTCTTAAATTTTGTTAGTTAGAAAAAGTTATTTTGAGAAGAGCAATGCTCGTTAGGACCTGTTCGATAGTAATTATTAGAATTGATTCTTTAACCGTTAGATAGAAAAGTGAGTCCCACCTGTGAGTGAAGAAGTAAAAATTGACGTTAGAAATAGTAAAATAACCGTCAAAAAATTGATTTTTTGGAGTGAAAAATTGCTACCAAACGAGGACTTAGCATCTCGTGTTACAATGCATGTATGGGTGGCACTAATGACTTGTGCGGTAGTAATTATGAGAATTAATTTTCAACCATTGAAGAGAAAAGTGGGTAACATTTGTGAGAGAACAGGTAAAAAATGACGACTGATTTAGAGAAGTGACAATGAAAAAATTAATTTTTTGAGGTGAAAAATCAAAACCAAACATACACTAAGTGTCAAAAGTGAAATGAAAAATCAAATGAATCATAAAATTTCACATTTAATTGAATTTATCATATAATATCACATAAACTAGTGCACTAGGACTAATGGTGTTCAATAATATCATTCTTTCGAGCAATATGTCTGTAAAGCAGTACAAACATAAATACAAATAATATTTTAGTTGCGCTATATGTATGTCACAACTTACAAATTTATATGTCAATAGACGATGTAACGAGATTTAATTCGATCAAAATATCATCAATTAAATAAAAATTAAATTAAATTTCTCACTTTCTTTTGACACCTTATCAATTTATAAATAATTATATAAATGATGATATACCACAAACATTTTCTATAATATTTTATATATTTGTGATATTTTTAATTAGATCTGCATATATAATATGTTTAGGCGTTTTCAGTTTGGCTGAATTATACATCTCATCACTAACTTTTGCCCTTTATTACACTTTTACCCTTAACTTTTTTTTTTTTTTCCTCTAACAATTTTAATTGTATCCTCAGTGGGGTTGGGCTGGTGGCAGATAGATGGTAGGTGTGTAAGGTACGGTGGTGTTAGTGGGGAAGATGACCGGTGGAATTTTCTTTTTCTTTCTTTCTTTTTATAATATTATTTTAGGTTAAATAGCAATGCCAAAACTAAAAGGTTTGAGATCCCGTCGCACGTTTGAAAAGGTTCGAGACCCATCTGCAATTTTCCCTAATTCCATTTTTCTGTCTTTTGTTGGATGAAAAGTTCTACTAAAACATCCTCAAGCGACATTCTAATTTAAAGATCGTCTTTGCCTTAATACGAAGCATTTTTAAATTTTAAAAATAATTTATTTCACATACTTCAATAATGCTCTCTATTTTGATTATTTATTTTGTTTTTTTCAAGAAATATTTATTAATTTCTCATAATCAGGATGTTAATCGGGCTCGTCGACTGGAACATCCAGTTACTCGGCCCGGCTCGAGGCTCGAAGGCACCGAGCCAAGGCTTGGGTTGAGCCCCATTTCGAGGAGTTAGATCGAGCCGGGCTTACTCGTTAAAAAAAAGAAAAAGAAAAGAAAGAGACTCAGTCTACTGCCTGTTTGGCAGCCAATTTGGCAGCCAAACAGGCAGTTAAGGGGGGGCGGGGGGATGGAAGAAAAAAAAAAAAAAACTAGTTCAGCTTGGCAAAGCTTGTGTCGAAGTTTAAAAAGCTCGACTCAACTCGACTCGTTGACATCTTTACATCACCTTTTCTTTAACATATTTGTTATATACTAGTAATAAACATGTGCTTTGCACAACTTATGTATCAGATGGACTATATGCTTACTATGTTTTGAAAGTTCTTGAGATAATTGATATTATTAAAGAAAAAAGTATAATTATTAAATATAATGAATATATGAATAAAACGTTTTATGGAAATGTGTATATAATGTGAAAATATTGAATAAAATGAAATAATTACAATGACACTTCTTCAAATACAATATTTTTTTTCAACGTCTCACGACTTTTCATCCTTTTATATGTAGTTCACATACTTACAAATATGTAAACCATATAAAAATATTCATAGATATACAGATTATTGGAACACATAACATTACAAGTAAAACACGTAAGTAGTATAGATGTAACCTTGAACGAAGAATCGAACAATATATCAAAAATAAATTTTATTAAAAAAAATCATTTACTAAATGCAAACACTAATTCTTACATAACTGAAAGAAACTACCATGAAAAAGAGTTTTGACATGATATAGATACAAATATCAAATTTAGAGAACGATAATAATTTTGAAGCACAGTAATTCAAAAATGTCAATGAAGTTTGAAACAAAGATTATTAGAGTAAAGAGCAATAAGCGGCTATGGATTTTAGCTAGTTTTCACAACACTGTGATGCAACTCTAGGATTATCGAATTGGCACTTCAATTGATTGCTTTGACATTGGCGATTGTTGCTTGTGTGGATGGTTTGGTGGTGTGTGGTGGTTGAAAGTGGAAGGAGCTGGTGGATTGTATGGGTGGGCTTGGTGGCGCCATTGCTAAAGGTGGTTGGAATGAGGGGTGGGGTGAAGGAGATGAAGATGCAAATTTCTTTTTCTTTTTTAATTGTTTTTAGCTTAATTTGATTTTTAAAAGGTTAAATATGTGAATGAAGTATGTGCCCTTACCAAACTTGGTCAAAATCAAAATTTTTAATAAACTAACGGTCAATTGGATAGTTTCCATCCATTTGGACTTCATATACATATTTTTGAAATGTTAAGGACCTTCGTTGGAACAAATTGAAGGTTAGGGTAAAATCTACAAAAATTAAAAAGGTTATGGATCGCTGCTAAAATTTTCCTTTAAAAAAATTTGATCTCGATTTTCCCTTCTGGTTATATGATTTTCATTGTATTTTCAATTTTTTCTTATTTCAACGAAGGTAAATCAAGACAAGAACACGTGTTCAATAATGATTAAAAAAATTATTACATATTATTGTTTCCTGAAAAAATATTTATATAATTTCTTTTAATTGTATGCGATAATATTTTTATTAATTTTATACTTATAATTATAAATAATTATGTTTAGTAGAAATTAATTGACTTAATTTTCGAAAACAATAATAATTATCAATTATTTTATTTAGAGGAAATAAATTGAATCATTTGGTATTCTGTAGTTAATTATATGTGTAGTATTATAATTTCTTTTAATTGTATGTAATAATTTTATTATTGTGTACTAATAATAGTGTTTAGTGGAAATTAATTGACTCGACTTTCAAAAGCAATAGTAATTATTAATTATTTTATTTAGAGGAAATAAATTGAATCATTTGGTATTTCATTTTTATCTAAACTTAGGTATACATATTATTAATTGTCAATCAAAACCACTTTTAAATAAGGGTAAATAATAATTATAACATATTAATGCAACATTTCATTTTTTTTCCCTTTTTGCAAACCAAATGAGGGTATATTGGACATATAGGTAAATGTATAGTGGTATAATTGGTATTCAAAAGTTTCTTCTCAATCCCCATTTTTAATATATTGTTGATAGATGTAAATGGACAATCAATTCAAATATGATATGAATGCTTAAAGAAGTATAGTATTCGAATATGTTACTCATTAAATTTTATCATTATAAAGTAAGGAGCGGGTTGTGTCTCCAAATTTAGAGAGCCGAATTTGAATAGTCAGAACCCACTCTATTTTAAAAAGAAAAAAAGAAAAAAGA